ATGGAATTGTTCAGTGATGTGGTAATTCAGTGTTTAACTTACTGAGGAAATACCACACTTCTCCAGAGACTGCACCCTGTATGTTACCACCAGCCTAGTATGGGGCTCCAGTTTTTCCTCATCCTCACACTTGTTATTGTCAGTTTTATTTTTAATTGTAACCATCCTAGTAGGTTTCAAGGGATGCCTCATGGTGGTTTTGATTGCATTCCGCTAGTGAGTAATGATTTGGATCATTTTTCATGCTAATTGGCCATCTGTATGTCTTCTTTGGAGAAATGTCAATTCAAGTCTTTCCCCCTTGGATGGTTTGTTTGTCTTTGTTGTTGAGTTGTAAGAGTTGTTTATATGTGGAAGATTTGCAAGTATCTTCTCCCCATTCTGTTGATTTTCTTCTTACTCTCCTAATAATGTCCTTTGATACACAAAAGTTTTAAATTTTGAGGCAGTTCAATTTAACTATTTTCTTTTGCTTCTTTTGCTTTGGGTATTATATCTAAGGATCCACTGCCAAATACAAGGTCATAAACATATAAGTTTTATATGGGTCATAAACTATATAACTTTTATTGACCCTTATACTTAGTACTTTGATTTTTAATTACTTTGTATTTAAGGTGTGAGATAATGGCCCAAGTTCATTCTTTTGCTTGTGAACTTCTAGTTACCCCATGTTGAGTTTTTTATTGTGAAAGGGCATTGGATTTTGTCAAATATTCTTTCTGAATTAAATGAGATAATGGCATGGTTTTCCTTCATTCAATTAATGTGATATATTAGTTTCTTAGGGTGGCTAACAGTGTACCACAGACTCAGTTGCTTAAAACAACAGATATTTATTCTCTTACAGTTCTGGAAACTATAAGTCCAAGGTCTAGGTGTCCTTCAGGAGGCTCTTGGAGAGAATCTTTCCATCCTCTCTCCTAGCTTCTGGTGATTGCCAGCAATCCGTGGCATTCCTTGGTTGTAGGTGCATCACTCCATTCTGCAGCTCCATCTTGACATGACATTCTCCTCTACTGTCTCTATGTCCAAAGCTCCTTGTCTTACAAGGATAACAGCCATTGGACTAGGGCCCCCTAATCTAGTATGACCTTATCTTACCTTGATTACAGCCCTGTTTCCAAAGGAATTCACATCCACAAGTACTTGAGACCTAAGAGTTGTACTTATCTTTTTGGGAACACAGTGGAACCCAACATACATGGTTACATTCATTGGTCTTATGTGGAGCCACCCTTGTATTCTGGAGTAAATCCCAGCTGACCGTGCAGCTTGACTTGGTTTAGCTAGTATTTTACTGAGGATTTTGCATTTTTATTCATAAAGGATATTGCCTTATAGTTTTCTCTTGTTGTCTTGTCCACTGTTTATATCAGGTATCGCTGGCCTCATAGAATGAGCTAGAAAATGTTCCTTCTTCTTTGAGAACCAGTTTGAGAAATATTAGTGTTAATTTGTTCTTTAATGTTTGGTAGAAATTTATCAGTGAGTCATGTGACCCAAGGCTTTCTCTGTTGGGTGTTTCTCATCTCTTCACTTGTCATGGGTCTGTTCTGATTTTTTATTTCTTCTTGAGAAATTTGTCATTTCATATAAGTTATCTATTATGTTGGTGTACAGTTGTTCATAATATTTTCTCATAATCCTTTTTTTGTTTCTCTAAGATTGTTAGAAATGTTCCCATTTTCATTTCTGCTCTGAGTAATTTGAGTCTTCTCTCTTGTCAGTCTAACTAGAGGCTCGTTAAGACTATGGACATGGCCCACGTGGTATTGCACCTGCCTACCAAATGAGACGCCCTGAGTTCAAGCCCCAATAATACAAAAAAGAAAAGAACTATTGTTATCTTTTTTTAAAAATCGACTTTTGGGTTCACCGATTCTTTCTCTCTGTAGTTTTTATTTGTTTCAGGTTTTTTGTGACACTGAGGTTTGAATTCAAGGCTTCGTGTTGGTAAGCAGGTGCTCTTACTGCCTGAGCCACTCTGCCAGCCCTTTTTTGTGATAGGTTTTTCTGAGATAGGGTCTCTGGAACTATTTGCCCAGAGCTGGCTTCAAATTGCGATCTTCCTGATCTCTACCTCCCAAGTAGCTAGGATTACAGGCGTGAGCCACTGGTGCCCAGCTCCTGTTTTGTTTATCTCTGCTGGAATCTTTATTAATCCTTTCCTTTTATGAAGGGCTTTCTTTTTGAATTTGGACATTCGCAGTGCTCAGTTTCCCCCTGAGCACTGCTTTGCGTGCAGTGCCTCTCATAAGTTCCTGTATGTTGTGTTTTCGTTTTCATTTGTCTCAAGGTACGTTCTAATTTACTTTATGATTTCTTGTCCCAGTGGTTTTTTAAAAGGAACCTCGGGTACTTTATAGCTCAGAAGCTCCTTGTGTCACCTCCTGATTCTAAACCTGCCAAACAGAAGTCTGCAAGATCTTTTTCCTTCCCTGTCACATGTCCCCTGACCTGGCTGGGTTGGACTTACCCTAGATAAGCAGTGAGTGCTGCCAGAGATCAGTGGCCACAGGGACACACAGTCTTTCCAGAGATGCTCTGTGCTCCTCAGCGCTTCCTGAGTGAGCCTAAGCTCCAAGGCCATTGATGGAAAGAACAGGGACATCAAGATTAATATAGCACGTCCATGTCAGAAAGAAATTAATCAGAAGCCCCTTGTCAAATGAGCTGAGTATCACAGATTCATGGGGTTTGTTTTCCACTTCCGAAGCTGCCCTAGCAAATGTCATGTTTGGTCAGTTTTCACAAATGCAGATGAGCATCTTGGGTTTGATGCCATCTTTAGCACTCAACAGCTCAATATAGCTCAGCAAGAGCAGAGCACTAGTCCCTGGTACTGACATCTGCAGGATGCCTGCCCTGTTGGGCACTATTCAAATGCATGTAGGAGTTCTCTGGCAGCACTCACTGCTTACCTAGGGTAAGCCCAACCCAGCCAGGTCAGGTGACCTGTGACAGGAAGGAAAAGGATCTCGCAGACTTCTTGGCAGGTTTAGAGCCAGGAGTTGACAAGAGCAGCAGAGTTTCATCTTCTGAGCTATAAATGCATGTAGGAGAATGAATGAAATGTTCTCATTTGGCCTCACAGTTACCTAATGACACAAAGGTGGTGTCCTTATCCCCATTTTCCGGGTGAAGAAACTGAGGCACAGACACGATCATCCAGCTAATATGTGGTGATGCTGGGGCGTGGACCCAGGCAGTATGCCCCATAGTCCACACTTCAACCATAATAGTATGCAGTCAAGTTTCTTAGCTTCATTAAACCTCGGTTTCCTTATTTATCACACAAGATAACAGCTATTAAACTTCAGGGCTCTTATGCAGATTAAGTGTTCTGATGAGTGCAAAGCCCTCTGCCCAGTTAGTGGCAGAGGTTGGCCGTGACGGCTGTAAATAGGCATCACAAGGTCACATGCATAGATGACCACACCAGGGTGATGGGGCAGTGACAGGGCCCTAAATCAAGGCCAGGCTTTTCCCCTCAGTGTCAGGAGTCTGCACACAGCAATGACCACACAGGTGGCCTCAGGAGACTCACCACAGTATGTGACACTTCTGGCTTAGCCTCAGCCAGCCTGGTATGGTCTTCTTGTTTCTGGCTAAGGAAACTTAGCTCAGAGGTTAAAAGAGTTTGCTGTGGACACACCACTAATTGCTAAGAGAGGTGGTATTTAGACACAGGTAAGACTGGGGGCCTGCATGGGAGGCCCTTGAGCCTCCCACACAGGCTGTAGCTGGTGTTCCCATGGCTGCCACCCCATCTCAGGGCTTTCATTGCTGCAATTCCATATTCCTGGAACACTTTCTTCTGTGGCCAGCTCATGTAAAAATGCTCTCTGTAACTCATGAGCTGGCTTACATCTGCCTACACCGTGAGCACTCCTGTTCCATACCCCAAATCTAACCTTATGACCAACTCTTTGGAGCCTCCTAAAATGGTTACCTAATATCCTTGTGGGGTTCTCTCCTTTCCCACACTTGCTGGGGTGGAGGAACCTTGAGGGCTCAACCTTGCCAGGGACTCTTTGATCTCTTTGCTAGTGCTATAACTGCATGTAGCAGTAACCAGGGAGTTGTCCATAACAAAGTGGTATACCAGTCTAATCTCCGGTTTTCAGTCACTGTTTCATCTTGTGGGCGTCACTGTTTTTTATAACGGAACTGAGTTGCTTGTTTTATTTGCAGTGCTGGGACTTGAACCCAGGACATGTTAAGCAAGTGCTCCACCACTGAGCTACATCCTGGGCCCTTAGCTGAGGTGTTACTCCAAGATGGTGGTTTCAACAAAGATCATGGGATTCTTTGTGAAACTTTATGAATATGTAGACTCTCAGAACTTTCCCGCAGAATGGGGAAGGGGAGACCTGGGAGGACTTTTTTAAAGTCCACATATCTAAGAAAACTTTGCCGTTTGCAGCTTCCAGAGAGGAAAGGTAATAGTTTACTTGAGGGTGTTACCTGCTCAAAAAATTAATTCTAAAAAGATAAGCATGTTCAAATAGTGTATGCTGTTCATGTCTCCATGCATGTGTGGGGGGAGGGAATGGGTCAAAGGATGTCTGATGTTGGTGGCTGGTCACAGTGGGTGGGGGGTAGGTAGGGTTGGAAAGGTAGAAAGCAAGGGTTTGGTTCCATTTGTAATGTTTTATTTCCTTAAAAAGAGAGATTCATAGTAAAACAGAAAAATCTATTGAGTTTGTGTGGTAAATATATTGGTGTCTGTTATTTTCTGCCTCAGAGATTTCATAGTCTAAAAATAATATTTAAAATAGAAACAAGATCAAAGTAAAAAATGTTCACGATGGCTCTGCTGTGCTCCTGGCAAGCTAGCAAGGAGGTGGATGGGCAAGGTGACCCACTGATGTTCAGGAAGGAAGCTCCTCCGAGGCTCTGTGTGTATGCGTGACCCAAGCACATGTGAAATATGAGGGGCTCTGCGGTTCCTGGTGTGCAATCCTGTCTTATGTATCTGTTTCCTTGTGCTTCAGGTGTTTGTGGCCAGTCCTCACAAAACACAGCCTATCGTGGAGATTCTGCTCAAAAATCAACCCAAACTCATTGAGTTTCTGAGTAGCTTCCAAAAAGAAAGGACGGACGATGAGCAGTTCACTGATGAGAAGAATTATCTGATCAAGCAGATTCGAGACCTGAAGAAAACAGCCCCGTGAAGACCTCCCATTGCCCGCCACAGCCATTGTCTCCTTGCCCAGTTTGTACAATGTCACTTCAGAATGTCATTCTTGGGAAGGTTTTGGAGGTGCCTGTTTTTTCTCAGTTGTTCAGGGTAGATGAAATATAAACAATCTAATGGAAACATTAACCTAGAGTAATATATTCATTTTAATCAAGTCTGATTACTTATGTGAAATCAGAACCATTGTATTAGGTATTTATAAAAGCAAGTTTAACTCATGGAGCTGAGCCCTGAGTCACCGTGAGTCACAAGTAGGAGGAACTCGAATGGTGGCTCTTCTGCTTCCTGAGGTGGGGAAGTAGGGAGAGGAATAGCTCTACTTGTCTGCACTTACATGAAAAAATCCCAGTAGACAGGGCTGGTGTTGTCGATCCTGTGTAGCCCATTGTTTCCTGCCTGTTACCTTCTGACTAATTAGTGGTTCTGACTTCTGGAGTCCCCTCCCAGCTCATTGTCTGCTCAGTGTCCCACATTCCACCCAGGGCCCACTGCACCTGCAGCAAGCAGCATGCTAGTCAGTGAGGAGGGCTGGAGTGGGTCAGCAGGGGACACTGGGGCACAGAGGACCCATGGGGTGTGACCTGCCCACTAGAGAACTATAAATGCATGGTTCCAGATAGAGTCACTTGCTCCGTATGGACCTCTAAGGGCACGAGGCCATGATGGTCTTATGGGAGGAATGCTTTGTGATGACCATGTGCAGGAGTCATTGCACTGACTCAAACCATGGGTCTAGAGGGCACGGTGGAAGACTCCATCAATATGGGGTTATCGCCCTGGGAGAGGGAGTGATTCACACACAGAAAAGTTCTCAGATGGCTGAAGTTTGTTTTCTAATAAGCTGTCATTCTGTAACTGCCATCAAGTTCTTCTGTGAAAAGGTAGAAAAATATACAAATTTTGGTCCATTCCAAACACCGTTTTGCACAATAGGATAATTACGAAGTTAATTTGTATTCCTTTAAAAGGTATGGGAGCAAAAAATCAGTTCTACAAAGGTCATGGCATGTTTTCAGACATCAGATGTATAAGATGGAATTTTAGAGCTATATTTACAAGACATCAATGGTACAATTGCTCATCAGCATTCTTTATAAATTACGAGTTGTTGCCTTCCATAGAAACTCTGCAGGTGCTGTGTTTCCTGTTGTCAGTCACATCCTTCTCTGCCCAGAGATGAAGAGAAAGGCTTCCCAGGATCAGTGCCCTGTGCAGACTCTGTGCCTGCAGCATTACGTCCCATTTTGTGGCCAGGGTGTGTGTTGGGGAGTACCTGCCATACCTCTTCTAGCAGCTCCAGACAGGGCCGGCAAGTGGGGGTCAGTGGCAGCCCCTGGCGACCTGCATTCCTTAGTCACTGAAGTCAGATTATCTTTATGACATTCCCTGACAGTCTAGAGTCCCTTAGAATCTGAATTTCTGGGTTTGCTTTAAATTTGATTAAAAAAGATGAGTGTAAATATTAAAAAATGAAGGTGAACGAACCATTGGAAATGTATTTGGTTGTTTAATTCTGTGCCCCAACACCATGGGATGCATGTTTTCAACCAGAAAGCAAAGCTTCCTAATTCTTTTTCGATAAAGAAACACTTTATTTCCTTTGGGCTTGAATTAGCTCTTCCCTAGCATGCCCTTATCCCAGCTCTGAACCTGTCAGACAGAAACTATCAAGTCTCATACGCAATAAATGAAGTAGCCAGGGTTTCATTGTGTTGTGAGTTTATAAAGTCACTTGAAAGGGGGAACAGGAAGCTCACAGTCAAAATATGTTTGCACAAAGATCACTGTAAATATTGTGAGAATTGAATTTTGAAAAGGTCATATTTAATGAGCTATTTCAAAGCACACATTTAAATAAAGACTTGACTAAATAAACAGGTACCACATACTCTGGCCGGTTTCATTCCTCTACATGCTGGTCACACAGCTGTGGTCGTGTCGCTGCTCCCAGCAGGGACGGCCCCAGCACCATCTACCTGTGCACTCTAGTAGCACAGGACCCTGTCCAGCCCCACCCACCAGTTGCTGAGAGCTGCCTTTTACCAGGTGTCACCCACCAGGCACTAACTTTATACATCACCATGGCTAGGAGCCATCCTTTTCAATAGTTGAGGACGTGGAGGGTTTGAGAAGTTATCCCAGATCTAGGGTGGGACACACTAGACAGAAACCCATGGGGGCCTAAGCCCCACTCGCTTTTTCCCTCCATCACAGCGCTGTGAACTGGGCAAGGTCATGGTGGGTGTTGGGACCTCCTCAGTGCTTTCCCTGCTGCTGCCTGGGAGGCTCTGGGGTGCACGGTCCTGGAGTGAGGCCAGGCAGGACAAAGATCGTAATGTTCTTGGACCCAGCTCTCAGCTAAAGCCAGGCGTCTTCCCAAGGCTAGGATTGCTTTTGGAGAAAATGTCTGTAGCACACACCCCTTGAAAGTGTTCTGGAGTCCTTTGATGACTCTAGGGGGCAGCAGGTACACCCAGGGAGGGGCTGGGAGTGCCCAAGGCCTCCATTGCTAGCCATGGTGGTTAGTCTGAGCCTCTCCCATGACATGCAGCACCATCTGGAAGTGACAGTAATAATGTGACAGGGATGAAATTCAAAACCACAGAATTGTGCTAGTGCAAAGGATAGACCTTTCATTACAAGTACGCTAGCAGAGAAAGTTAAGATTTTATGTCTGTAATTAATTTTTTTGTTTTATCGAAAAGCTTATTGTACATCTGACATGAATAATCACTGTCTTTTCATGGATGTTTTTCCAGAACGGTTTTTTGATGGGTTTTTTTGTTTGTTTGTTTGGTTTGGGTTTTTTTTAGCGGTACTGGGGTTTGAACTCTGGGCCTCATGCTTGCTAGATAGGTGCTCTACCACGTGAGCTACTCTGTCAGCCCTTTGTTGCTTAGTCATTCTACAGAGGGTCTTGCATTTTTGCCCTCATGTCACCATACCCAACTTATTTATTGAGATGGGGTCTTGCTAGCTTTTTGCCTGGGCTGTCTTCAAACTGCAGTCTTTCCAATCTCTGCCTCCCACGTAGCTGGAATTACAGGTGAGAGCCACCACACCCAGATGGGGTTTTGGATATTTTAGTGAGGGATCACAGTTGGATAAAGGTCTGAAATATATGCTATAAGGAAACCTTGAAAAACTAGAGTTGGTCTGCCTAGGAAGACTGAAAAGATTGAAGATGGGTATGAATAATGAATAATGTGTGATTTGGTTTTGAAATCCAGGAGACACTGGTGTGTGGCAGCCATGGTTAAGGCAAAGCAGAATAGACCAATGAGCCCAGCCTGTGCGCAGCCTATAGGGACATTGGAGCCAAGTGTGCCCGGGGTTGGGGTGGGGGGGGCAGAACATGGAGCTTCAGAAAAGTGGAGGAGCTGGGCACTAGTGGCTCCTGCCTATAATCCTAGCAACTCGGGATGCAGAGATCAGGGGGATCAAGATTTAAAGCCAGCCTGGGCAACAAAACCAAGACCCTATCTCAAAAATACCCAGTACAAAAAAGGGGCTGGCAGAGTGACTCAAGTGGTGGAGTGCCTGCCTAGCAAGTGTGAGGTGCTGAGTTCAAACCCTAGTACCACAAAAAAAAAAAAATGGAATAGCTGGCAGCAGAACAGGCCTTAGGATCCTGACCCCCAAAGTCCAAGTGTAGGAAACCAGACTGGCAACCCAGGCCACTGCCCCCAGGCCAGCTACTCTGCTTTCCCCCTGGGGCAGCCACTTCCTATCCTTAAGGCCCAAGAAAAAGAGAGAATCCTGTGTACCAGTCCTAGAGGGTAACTCAGTGGAAACATTCAGAAGTGAAACTTATTCGAGGGGCTGCCTTTACTCCACTTGGTTGCTTGATGTTTGAAAGATCAAGTTTGACCTCTGTGCAGGACAGGAGCATTTGAGCTTGAATTTTTCCCTTGTGAGCAATGCTCCACTTCACAGGCATGGATTTCAGGCTACAGTTCTGCACCTGCTGCATTTTCCTGGCTGGCTTGTCAGGTGGTCATAACATGGGCTTCGATTTCCTGATAGGACCAGTTGACACCCAGCCAGCTACTCCTGTTTCACATTCCTCAGTGGTCCAGGGTGACGGGGCTGTCTCTGGCTGAAGCTGATGTCGAGTACCTTGGGCCATCTCCTGCCCTCATCACTCCTCTTCAGAGAGAAGGGTGTGCAGTCACCTAAAAGTCACCATGAATGCAAAGTCACAACCCTTTACCATCAGTTAATTTAACATAAGGCAATTTAACTGCCATACTGTGAGTCATTGTTGCTTTAGAAGCTGTGATTATATGGGCCCTTTGGGGAACACATTGTAATAGACTAAGTAATTTGTCTTTTAGGAAAGGTTGGAAAAATAAGATCACCTAGTTTAGTCTTCTGAAATTTAAAGCTTAAAGAGGCCAAAATAAATGAGTGCCACCCACTTATCCATTCATCCAACATCCTTGAACTCTCCATGCTGGTTAGTGATGGATGTAAGGGACCACTGTAGGGGGTAGACCCCTTGAGACAGGAGCTGAGGGTCTGTCCACTGCACTGGCACTGCGCCCAGGTCAACAGAGACTGACAGAACAGTAGTTCCATGTACCACAGGGTGCCCAGGCTGGAGCTCATTGGGAGAAGCTAAAGGAGAAGGTACAGGGGAACAGGGAGTCCAGCCACAAGAAGACCCAGCAAGTCTGTGACAACACTGGCCACCTGGGGCCACACGATCCCACCCCACTCCACCTCCCCTTGCAGCTGACACGGCTTGCTCTTAAAAGTGACCCTAAACTGGGCATCATGGTGATACCTGTAATCCCAGCACTCAGGAGGCTAAGGCAGGAAGATGGTGAGTTCCAGGCCCACCAAGGTCACCTGAGACCGTATCACAAAGCACAAGAAAATCTCAGCCCAAATTCATTTGGACACAGGAGAGGGAGTTCTAGAAATGAACTCCAGCTTGTTAACTTAACTTTCCAGGAGCTTGAAAATACCCAACATAAAAAAGGGCTGGCAGAGTGGCTCAAGTGGGCAAGCGCGTGAGGCGCTTAAATTCCCAATAATCAGGACGCTGAGGCAGAAATAAGTCCAAGGCCATCCTGTCACAAAAAGAAAAAAATAAAAAGAACAACAAAACCAAGGAAAACTATGCTTGTCATAGATTATAGAAGTGGTTGAATAAGTTCAAACCCCAGTACTGCCCAAATAAAAACAGAAAACAAAGTGAGACTAGCCTGGACATCACAGAGATAGCCGCGTCTCAAGACAAACAAAAGTACCATCAGAACAAGGTGGCTGACCTTGGGCCAGGGTCTTGCAGTGTACCCTAGCCCTGCCCTTTTCCTGACCTGGAGGCAGGGACATCAGGACCCAGGACTCCGGTGGGGCGAGGCCCTAGCTACAGACTGCTGTCCCTCTGGGGAAAAAGCCACTCCTTTTCTCCAGGCACAGAGCGTGACATTCACATAGGCTTGACCTGCTGGATGAATGGGAGTCTGTGCTACCCAGGGTGTGGACGAAGGAGGAAGAAGGTGTGCCCACAGCCAGCCGGCAGCATCTGCCAGCACCAGCTGTGCCCTTCACCTTGACCAGGGATGCTTTCCAAGCATGGTGGCTTTCTCCAGCTGTTGGCTTTCTGTGCCCCTCTGAATGCAGACATGGCATGTGACCAGGCACCAGGAAAATGGAGCAGAGGCAAGCAGGCCAGAGTAAGGAGGGGAAACCGACCAGACCCCTGGGACCCCCACTAGACAGAGGCTCTGTCCCTGCAGGTCCAGCCCCTTCTGGCTTGGTGCTGTCCCTTTCCTTGCAAGGTCCTGAGGAAGAGGCTACTCCTGGGGTTCCTACCAGCCCGTGGAGACAAGTCTACCAGTCAATTTGCCATCAAGTGAAGCAGTCACAGGATACCTCCTGGTGGGGTGTTGGGGTGCCAAGGAGGCTGGTGTGACCCCTGAACAGTGGCTGCTGCTTATGGTCCAAAAGCTTCAGGGAAGCAGGCTAGCCTGGCCCAACTGAGAGCATCTCCTCTTGTCCCTTCCTAGGAGGCACCCCAAAGCTTCTCCCAGGTCACTGCAGGGCAGGAGCTCTGGTCTCCACAGAGTGGAATGTGGCAGGACACGTTTTCGGCACTTAGGCACATTCACTGCCATGTCCTGAAGCAGCTGGGTGGGTCTTTGCTGCCTCTAGCTGGGCCCAGAGTGAGGACTCTTTTGCCCCTAGGGGTGTGTTTGGCTCTGGGCTTCTGAAGGCACACCCCTGCCTGCTCAAAGTCCAGTCTGCCTAATCTTTCAGGACCAGGCTAGAAACCTGCTCAAGATGCCCAAAACCTGGCTTGGAGAGCCTGCCTGTAGGAAGGGAGACAGGCCTGCAGTACAGAGGGATGATGACGAGGAGCCACAGGAAGGGATTTCCATGAGACAATTCCTGGAGGGGTTGTTGATAGCCCTCCGTGGTGCTGATTCCCTTGCATGTTTTCCTAGCCACACTCCAAACCCTCAGCCGACTTCTTTAGATAATCACTCTGGGTTCCATGAGGCACTGTGCAAGTTGCACCCTGGCCATGACTGATTTCCTCTTCCCTCTACGCCAGCAGGCTACTTTCCTGCCTCTCTTCTCCAGGCTGGGAGAAGACACCCCAGCACCCTGCCTTGCACACTCTTTCTCCCTCTCTGTCCCAGAAAACTTACTCTCCAGCCTATCAGAGCTCACCATCTTTACTTCTCTTCCTCTACCACCTTCTTTTCTGCTCTGCATCCCGCCTGGTCACCA